AACTCACAGAAGATCTCTAAGACAAGCAATGAGGCTAACACAGCACAAAAGCACAGTGTGTCACCAACAAAACTCAGTCAAAGAAGGGGGGAGAAAGTTCCACTGCCTGCTTTTATACTGCTGTTTAGTTATTTTTTAAATCCCCGATAAAGCACTCACCATTGGATAAGCCCCTATAGCATCATGTCACAGGAGTGAGCTGATTAGTTAAATGAAAATCAGCTCACTCCCATACCCCTCCTCTTTGATTCATACAAGGCATCCGAATGAACTAAAACACGAATTGAGGCAAATCAGTTCATTTTAGTTCATTAGTTCATTCGGTTTTTCTACCATCCCCATGTAAAGCAATGCAATGCTTTGAAAAAGCACGAATGAACTAATACACGAATTGAGGCAAATCAGTTCATTTTAGTTCATTAGTTCATTCGGTTTTTCTACTATCCCCATCTGTAAGCAATGCAAAGCTTTAAAAAGCGCGAATTGTTTGTGCGTTCGGTTCGCGAACGCTTCTCGTTCGGTAGTTTGCCTTATGAACATTACACTGACAGCCTGTAATTCAAAAAGCCGAACTAGTTATACGAATGAATGAAAGAATGATATAGACATTGCTATTCATTCGGTTATTCATTCGGTTATTAGTTCGGCTTTTTGAATTACACAGTGTGCTGTGTCAATTCGCACAGAGTGTAATTCAAAATGCCGAATGAACGAACAAACGAAAGATTTTCGGTAAACGGCCATTCGTTTGTTCGTTCTTTAGTTTGGATACCCATTCTTTATTCGGTATTCGTAAGAATGGAAGAAAATGCATATTTTCGGACGAAAATCAATTCGGACGAATACGAATGCCCAAGTCTAGAAATCACCATGTAAACTAATGGTACAGTAAACTCCCCTGAATCCTAAATCTCTTTAAACCTGCTGCACAGAGTTTCGCTTCAGTTTTCCGATGTGTACTCTCTCCAGTCCTTTAAGAAGTCACTGAAAACACCTCTTTATTACAGTCAGTCTTTCTGGGTGACACTCCTCTCTTTACAACTGCCCTCCTCTCACTTCTCACTTTCTCACTTCCATAACCCAACTCATCTTTGTATTCCTAACACCAATGTATACCTTTAAGAAGGTATGAGTACAGGACTTAATGTCCACATCATATGAAGGCAGGTACTCTAAGGTTAACCTTAACCCCTTAAGGACCAAACTTCTGGAATAAAAGGGAATCATGACATGTCACACATGTCACGTGTCCTTAAGGGGTTAAACCCCCTCCGCTCTAAATGTCCATATTCCTAAAGTTCCCTAATCCTAAATTATTCTAATATTAAAATCAGCTAAATCCAAGTCCCCTATTCTAACAGAGTTGTTTTTATCAGTGCTATTGTGATGCAATACAGTTGTACTCTTATGAATGCAGTGATATGTCAACACTGCTAAAACAACAGACATCATTTGAAATGCACAGTTTTTACTTAAATGTGTTTTATATTCATTACCCCCAACATGGGGGTTCTCCTCGACAAGTATAAAAACATGACTGCTGACCCAACCAGTCCCAACCTACAACCCTTTGCCCCCCAATAATACACCTCATTCTTGTGGATAAGGGCAACGGCCACAGTTTTATTTAAATTAACAATTTAACTCAGTTCAAATCTGCCAGCTGTTGGGTGTTTGCCCAACAGGCAGTTCTCACACACATTCGGTGCCACGAGCCTCACCAGCCAGCTCCTCGCCATCAGCTCCGTGACGGCTGTCATCTCCCCAATGTTCTTTTCTTCCTCTGCGCTGTCCAGGGAAACCGCCACCGTGATGCCCATCCTCGCGCACTACACTGCGTGGGCATCCCGCCCCTCTGTCGACAGCGCCTCCTCAAATCCTGCTTGCAGGCCCATGTTAAAGATGTCCAACCCAAGGGGGGACAGGTGCACACCATCTTGCCTCATTAGTGCGTCATTGTCCCCTTCCAACTCAACGTGTCTTACTACTACACCTCCCAGGTGACGCATGAATCGGGACATGGTTATACTGACCTTCCGCCTATAGCGCTCTAGGGCCTTACGATCTCGGACCAGACGAGGGTCAGGTCCCTGAACAACGCAAAACAGTGGGCCATGTCATGCCGCATCGCGTGCACTAGGTCCACCGACCGTCGTCGTCCGACATCGTTCCCGCCCATGTGAATCACCAGGGTCACTGGCCCTGACACGTAGCGCCTGAGCTGAATCAGTTCAGCATATAACCTGTCCCAGGACAGCCCCCGGATACTCCTCCATCGTACCCTTGCTATCTCGTACGGGAAACAGAGGTTCCAGCCATAAGATCTACTCTCGGGCCGCCTAGCTGCCCAATACACAAAGTAGTGTCCGATTATCCAAATAAAACACGGGGAAGAACCTGCAACAAAACCATAACTGAGCTGCGCCGCTGGCCTAAAGCAAATGAGGGCGCACATAGAGCTGGAACCGCCCCGACTGCCATTGCCCCAACCGCTTGAGAGCCTCTGATGGAAGACCCAGCATACTCTGAGTTGCCACCTCAATAATGAAGGAGTGTGTAGTATACCGCCTGGGAGACAGTCCAATTCGAATCACCCCAGCCCAAAGCACTCTGGCGAATCGAAATCGGCTGAGTGATGACCCACCCCGATGCCTGAACAGCGACCCTGCGGTCAACCCACGTACCTCCAAAAACTCCCGCAGCAACCTGACCGGGCGGCACTGCTGATCAGTAGCCTTAAGCCGAACTGAGGCGCCCACCCCCATCTGATCCATCTTAGACCTTCGGATGAACAACGCAACGTCCCCCGTAGAAACCTTGATATCTGCCATTTGCATGGCGGCCGGCACCCACATACTTGGGCCACCAACTCGCCGACCAGCAGGGCAGCGAAGAAGCAAATGGCAAACGCGGCCCGAAACAGGAGCACCTCATAGTTCGACATGCAGATCTGCGGTAGCCACTCCAATAGTTTGCACAGGATCTCATAGGATATGGGATGTCGAGTGTTCGGCCTGCGATCTCTCTTCCATCCCTTCATGACCCGCACGACGCGGAACACCTTGGTAGCATCCTATCACCCACACCACTGGAACAGGAACGACAAGGCCGATAATGTTCTCTCGGCCGTCACTGCCGACTTACCCTCCTCGCAGAGCAACTCCAACAAAGCCAGCACAGCCCACAACCTACCTTCCTCTGAGGACACTTCCCTACCACTGCAGACCTCCATCCATCTCCGCCACACTGCAAAATACGATCTCCACGTGGACTCAGCCAACAACCCCCTCACCAACCGACTCAAATTGTGGAAACCAGGTCCCAGACTCCCGCCGGGCACGAGGTTCAAGTCCGGGCCGCCTCTCGAAACCGGTCCCACTGAAACTGAGAGAGAGAGTTGGCTATAACGTTCTGCACCCCAGGCACATGCCACGCAACCAACCACAAATTCCACCCTAAACTAAGCAAGACTAAGCGCCTCAGAAGCGACAAAACCGGAGTGGATGAAGATGTAGACCGGTTGATCACACGGAGAACACTCATGTTGTCCGTGAGCACCATCACCTTCTGGTTTGCTCGCTCTGAACCCCATAGTTCCACTACAATGGGAAAGATCTCCAGGAACGTTAAGTTACCTCCCAATTCAGTCTCCAGCCAGTGGCGGGGCCAGGCCTCCGCGCACCATCGTCCTTGAAAGTAGGCCCCAAAGCCCACTGTCCCGGACACGTCGGTGTACAGCTCCAAATCCGTATTGGACACTGCCAGGCGCAGCCAGCAAGATTGCCCGTTGTACCTACCCAAGAATGAGCTCCAAACTTGAAGATCCTCTTGCTGTCTGTGGGTGATCCGAATGAAGTGAAACGGCTGCTTGACTCCGACCGCTGCTAATGAAAGGCGCCGGCAAAAAGCCCTGCCCATCGGTAGCACCCGACAGGCAAAGTTCAGATGCCCTAGCAATGCCTGTAACCCCCGGAGCAGTACCTTTTTTCACTCCTTTTACCGAATCCACCAGACACAGCAGGTGAGACAGTTTCTCATCCGGCAACCGGAAAACCATACTCCGTTAGTCCACTTCAGTACCCAGGTAGGACAGAACCCCCGACCGGACCAACCATCTTTTCCTCCGCTATTGACCACAACAAACTCCGACGTGACGGCTCTAAATGAATCTAAGAGCACCACGCAGTCATCCGACTCCCGTGGGCCCACAAACAAGAAATCATCTAAATAGTGAGTTAGCGACGCTAACCCGGAAACCCCACCCATTCCAAAAAGGACGTGAACATTTCAAAATGAGAACAGAAGATAGCGCAGCCCATAGGCAAACACATATCAAATAAAAAGGAACCCTGAAACTGGCAACCCAGCAGGTGAAAGCAGTCCGGGTGGACCGGGAGCAGTCAGAAAGCGGACTCTGTCCGACTTGGCCAACTGAGCTCCCCTCCCTGCCTCCCGGACCAACTCCAGAGGCCGATCAAATGAGGCATAGCGAACGTGCGACCCGTCTGACGGGTAAGACAGGTGGTGAATGAGACTAAAGGATCCAGGCTCCTTCTTAGGGACCAACCCCAGCGGGGATACCTGCAAATTGGGAAATGGCGGCATATCAAACGGACCGGCCATCCTGCCCAAATGAACTTCCTTCATCAACTTCTCCTCTAATAACCCTTATTTACCCACTACCGAATGCAGATTG